CGTTTTTCGACCCATTCCTATGAATTGGCCGCCTAGCTTGATGCCCAAATCGTGAAAATCGATTTTTCGCCGAAAATATTTGAGCAGAAAATTTTTGGTTCGCGCAGAAAAAAAGCATGTAAAAAGCTCATAATTTTGAGCTATTGACCGACTGATTCTGAGTACCCTGGCCGCCCAGCTTGACGGAGCTGGAATGTACTTGGATATCCTTGAAACGACTCGTCAACGCTCGAATTTCACTTTAAATTCCTTTTCCCTTCAATTCCCTTCGCATTCAACTTAAAATAAAAATTTTTCAATACTCAATTTCCTCTCTCTATTTCCAACTGTTAAATCTTCCGTAAAAGGTGTGAAGAAATAATTTCCGCATTCGATATTTGAATAGAAAATTTTCATTGACATGCTTGCGAGAATTTAACCCGCATGTGTTTATTTAATGAATGGAATTTCTTACGTTTAATCAGTGAGATTATATTCTTCAAAATTAAGTGGAACGGAATTGGATAAGTAGGCTAGAGAGATCTTTACCTAACTGTTTACGAATTTCTCGTGGCGTTGACACATTCCTGTCTGCAATAAACCCTCTGCGAATGTTTTGAAAACATCCCATTGGAAATAACAAACTTGCCTCAACCAATTCCTGTTTACAATTCTCAGTATCACAATGACATTTGTATCTTCCACAGACGATCAGTGTACTACTGGACTATAAGAAGTATCCAACATGAAGATTTTAACAAAGATAATTAAAATCACCGAACTAGTTACATTAAAATCATGATTAAAAGAAAAATAAACATGTTGATTAATCCTCTAATCATTGCATATAAATTTTAAATGATAATAAGTACGAGTGTTTTAACAATCGTTATAAACTATGTGTGTTCAAACCAATTATTGATTTTTAAGAATTATTGTTGTGTTCATTTAAACATTAGAATTTTATCACTGTTCAATTTAATACGAAAGTGGCTTGAGTGATTTAAAACGCGTGGAGTGAATAAAATAAAATCGTGGTTTTTCAAGTAGATACTCTATCGCAGTTGTTGATTAATTCAGAAAAATATTTAATTAAATACAATCATGACTGACATTATAACACAAGATTTGCACGAATTACTAATTTATTTCTCGAAGAATACGTACAAGGCCAAAGATGCTGATAGCACGGTAATATTTTGTTCAGATTTTTCTGATTCAGTTATTTTGTCTATGAAGTGGTGAAACAGGATTAATTCATTTTGGCATTGGAACAGATTATTTTTTAGAAAATGCTTCGGAATCTGAGAGAGATTATTTGTTTTTCTATGTAGGTATTGTTTGTAGACGATTTTTTTAACGAAAATTCATTGATATTTAAGGATGGCAATCGACAAATGGTGGACATAAGGTAAAATGGACTCTTATTGTGGAAAAACTTGCAATTTCAGAGATAGTTGTCTATCAATTTTTAGGAGAGTCACGTTGAGTGCGATTTAGGGAAGAAAAAATCATGGAATTACAGTTTTCATTTAAAATTTAATGAAATTCCAATTTTTTGAGTGGCAGGAAGATAAGAATTTTTAAATTTATTAGCAATTTTAATTGAAATATAAATATTCAGGTTCAAGATACGCTGAATTTGATTGATATCTATTAATTTTCATTGCGTAATTTAACTGAAATTGACCGTTTTCATTAATTTTTCCATCACATTTTGAAATTTCAATACCGAAATTGCCTTCAATTTCAGTGGAATTGTAATGAAATTGAAAAATTGTACGAAGTGTGTCGGAAATTTCAGCCTACGATTCTTAACCCTGTACTCCGACCATCAATAACTCATTTCAAAGCCTGAGAGAATACCGAGATGAACGAAAATCGTTAAATTTTAAACGGATCGTTTTACCCGCCTCAGCAGCAAGAAGACGAGAATTCCTCAACTTACTTGCAATTTCAATTGAAATATGAGAATTCAGTGTCAAATGACGCGGCATTTAATTGATTTCTATCGATTTTCATTGCATAATTCAACAGAACTTTATCGTTTCCATTGATTTTTCCGTCAGATTTTGAAATTTCAGTGGAATTCTAGTGCAAAAAAAAATTCCACGAAGTGTATCAGAAATTTTAGACAAAACTTTTTGATTGTTCTCCGATTATCAATAGCTCATTTCAAAGCTTGAGGAAATATCTTCGAGATGAAAGAAAAATCGTCGAATTTATATTAGTCCATTTAACCCTAGTCTAGTCGTCATACGCGACCCTGCGATTGGTCACCTCTGCGGGGATTCCCCGCCGTGTTATTTAGCCTTTAGCGTTGCCAAATTCACTCTACACTGCCCGGGCGTGTTTAGCGAGTTTCCGGCAACGTCACGTTATGGGCAATTTCATTCCATACGGGAAAAAATAATTCATCTGTCCGAAATAATTTGTTTTCTTTAAGGATTTTGGGAAATATGTTGTTCTAAAAACTACTATAATTTTTTAGACACTTCAATTCAGTAGCGAAGTGGTAAAAAGGAGACAATGGCATTTTTTCAAAATTCGTAATATTATTACCATTTGAAAATTAATATTTCATTGTGATTCACGCAAAATTTTTTATTTTTTTTAATGTACTTATTTCCGCTTTTCGCTACTGAATTGACAAAGTCATTTTTTTTCCGGTTAGCCAGTCAATTGTAACTAAAGAAAAAAGACGCGCGGCTCCCTTCGCTCCAAAAAAGCCTCGCATTTGCCACCTCAGATTCCGAAAAATTAATCTTATTCAACTCATCCTGTTTCACAGCTTCATAATTTAACGAATACTTCCCCATTAACTGCAAATTTGGTTCCCCAGGGACAAGCAATAATGCAGAAATGTCTGCTCCTAGCAGACCTTGACTACACTCACTCAGTAATAAACAATGGGGCTGGTGATCTGAGTGCCCACTACCCGAGTCACTTGATAATTCTCGAAAACGAGAAGCACAAAAATCCGAATGAAACCCCACCGCCAATGCCACGGACAACCGAAACCATTTACGAGAGCTCATACGAGCCGAATAAATTGAAGGACGTGATAAAATCCGCTAGATTTGCAAGGTGTCGCTCGAGATTTCCACTGCCAGTGATACTGTACAAGGGGAGACACATTTGCAGATCAGCTACGCTGTCAGGGGGTCCCGAAATTTATGGAAGATCTGGGTTGAATTATTTGTTCGCTGGTAATGAAACTGGAGGCGGTGAACAGCGGGACGACGAAGCTAGGGGCGGTGAGGGGGTGCTCAGTGATTGGCAGCTATTTGATAAAGTCAGAAATCAGGATATTAAGTTATTGAAAACACTCAATGTTGGGAACATCATTGACTTTATGGTGGAGAAGAAAAAAGTCAAGTTTGGGATGAAGTGAGAATTGTTTTGATTAAGTCATTGCAGGTCACGCGTATGAAAAATTTAATGGAACAAATTAACGCTTTCTCTAAGGAATTCTATTGAATTTGCTAATTTATTGCTATATGAAAACAAAAATAATTTCCCACTTATTTGTTTTTTGCGTCAATTAAATTAACAATGCACCTTTCCCCTTCGTTTTAAAATATATATTTGTTCACAGAAAAAATCTTGTAGATGTAGATAATTCCGTGTATCTTATTGTGTGGAAATTTTTCTATAAAAAATATTGGGCATGAATTTTGTAATTCGTTTTCTATAGAAATTTTAAATTTTGTAAATAAACAAAAATCGATTGAATTTTCTCTATTAAATATCTCTTAACTTTCTTAATTCTCATAAAACACAAATTAATTTTTTTAATAAAACTCCAAGAGAATTCTTATATTTATTATTCTTATCATTTCTTTATTCTATATCTATGAAATCTTATAAATGTAAATTTTTCTACATATCTTATTCTGGTGAAACTTTTTCTATGAAAAATGTTAGGCATTCATTTTTCTTCTATAAAAATTTTAATTTTCTATAGAAAAACAAAAATTGATTGAATTTTTTCCATCAAACATCTCTCAACTCTTAATTCTTTTTAAAAAACAAATGGAATTTTTTAATAGAACTTCAACAGTATTTTTATAGAATTGCAATGGAAATTCACCAGAATTTCCTGGATAAAGCGCTAGGTTTTTCTATTAAATTCTTTCATGCGTAAATATTCCCGCAGGAAAATTAATTTTCATTTTGTTCTGCAGTGTGACGTCCTCGGAGAAGGTAGACAAGGAGAAACGATACTCCGATTTCACGATAATCTCCCTGCCCTACCCGGGCTGTGAATTCTTTCGAGAGTTCAGGGAGAATGATTATCATGCCAAGGGTTTAGTATTCGATTGGTCGCAGACTCACGTCGATGCGGAGATCGGAGTGCCTGAGGACGTCATATCGACACAACTGAAGATCAGTTGGGAGCAGTATCAGCAGTGGGACCTAGTCAAACTGACCCAGAATTATTTGAAATTGATACTGAAGTATCTCAGTGAGAGCAGCAGTGGAATGCTCATTCATTGTATTTCAGGTAATTGTATGAAGTTTATCTTACTTTAGTTTGGAAAAAGATTTGAAATTGGTGAAGGTCCAAAAAAATTGGCATTGGTTAGACACCATGATTTGCAAATCATGTTTTTAGAAGAATACTAACACTAGCATTTGTTAGTCTTCCTAATTAAAACCCAAATAAATGAGTAAGTAAATAAAATAAATATAACATGTCACAAAATTTCAACATTACGTCAGCTCTCATTGAAAATGCTAATACCAATCCTTGTTAGTATTTTCGATTGACGTAAAAATAATTTTTAATAATAAAAATTGAAAATAAAAGATGGAATAATAAAGATTATTTTTAATTTTTAATAATTGATAATTTTTCATTTGACGTAATGTTTGAATTTTATGACTTATTATATTAATTTTATTTATTCACTATTAATTTTGGTTTTAATGAGTAAGAGATGACTAAACGTGGCTTAATGATCATCACGAATTTAGTTGGATTGTTTTTTGATAATTATAGACTGGATTTTGAGTCGTTTCATACGTTTGAAGATCTGTATAATGCCTAAACATCTCACGGTATAAGAGTTATGTAAATGACGCCCTGATGAGAACATTTAGTTCTAGAAACGTTGGCTATAGGAAAAATAAGGATTTTCCTTCCTTTTTCACTTTTATTTGATTAATATTCCTGATATTGGCCGCATAATGGCCCAGTAGAAGAGGAGATGTATTGATGATAATTGGAGCGATTGGAATTTATCTAATTTTGAATAATTATGTCCATATTTTTTCATATTTTATGGAAATAAACCTAACTCAAGCATGTCGAAATAGATCGCTGACAAAGTTCATTCGATTAAAAAGAAAAATTGTACATCGATGCAGCGAAAAGAGAAAAAATCAAGGATTAATAATCGATTAAATCAGCGGAAGAAACAGCTGAATCGATTAATGAATGGAAATTTCACGAAACATCACCCCTCTTCATCTCCATTTCAGGATGGGACAGAACTCCACTATTCGTTTCCCTCCTCCGCATAAGTTTGTGGGCAGATGGGGCGATCCACACATCCCTGAACCCCCACCAAATGCTGTACTTCACAATCGCCTACGACTGGCTGCTCTTCGGCCACGACCTCCCAGACCGATTGAGCAAGGGCGAGGAGATCTTCTTCTTCTGCTTCTTCTTCCTCAAGCACATCCTCGAGGAGGAGTACAGTGTCAATCCAAAGTACCCTCGCACTAGGCACTCAGTCCTACGAAACGACAGTGACTCTCAACTGGACAACGTCATGTTCGATAATGAATCAGTGGTAACTCACAGTTCAGTCAGTTCGAACATGAGTTTGAACAGCTGGTGCAGTTCTCTCAGTCAAAATAGTCGAGACAGCCAGGACAACAATCCACCGAATGTTTTCCCGTGTTCTTCCAATGATGGGCAAGAGGATTGTCACAGTAATGGGTAAAATCGAATAACAAGACAATAGATTAGATAGGAATTTCTAAAAACAAGTTTCTCGTGACATTCTCTATCTGAAATATTCAAACACTGCTGCTAGAAATCTCGCCTGGGGTGGAAAAGAAGTTTGAGTTGATCGATCTCAGTGGATGATTCAGTAGTGAAGTGGTGAATTGGAATGAAATTATTATTGCATTTATTTTAAGAAAGAGTGTTGGGAGAAAATGCCAGAAGACTTTTCTATAAAATTAATCGTTATGGGGATGAGTTGATGTACAAGAAGGAGGTGATTATCAACTGTTGATGAAAATTGAATCTAAGCAATTGATTTTGTGGGAAAATGTCAAGAGATCTTCTCTTTGGGTGAGGAAATTTTTATCAAGTTTCTCGTGAGATTCTCTAAAAAGAGACGATGAAGAGAGATTTAAAAAGGTGTGAGCAAATTACTGTTGGCACATGAGTCAAATTTGTCAATTGTTGATAGGGCATCTGTCTCAAAAGCAATTGTTTTTGGGAGAAAATGTCAAGGGATCTTTTTTCAGGTGGGGAAATTTGTAACAACAAATATCTTTTGACATTACTAAAATCATTCGTTACCGGCGTAAATAATGATTCAAGATGTAGGAAAACAACTGTTGAATCAAAAATGGCACGTGTTAATTGTGCGTTCATCTCGAGAACATGTGGTGCTACGAGAAAATATCGAAAAACATTTTTGTAGTGAGAGAATCCCCAACAGAGACCTTTCGTGACAATTTCTTCTCAGATATTCATCACGAAAAATAATTCAATATTTAACGGAGGAATATGGACTGTTGAAAACTCCGAAATCACCAAGAAGTAGACAATATTTTCCATGGAATCCCATATTCATGAAAAATTCTCTAGGAAATATGAAAATTATTTGAGTCTCAACTAATGAAAATCGTCATTTTTCAAAGAAACTACAGATCCATGCTAGAATATCCCCAGCTATTTTTCCTTTTTCCAAGTTTCTCAACGAAATTTAACTGCAATTACTAGAAATTGTGAGAAAACTCTCGTTTTCTGAAGTAGTCACAGTAATGGGTAAATTCAAACAAAACAATTCTCCCCCAGTGAATGGTTTTCCTCGATGTTGATTAATGTTTTGTCCCCAGGAATGTCGTAACATGGCCTTTCTACAGTTCCCCCCAAAAAGACACAGTTGCCTCGCGCTCTCCTTTGCCCCAGAATCGCACATCCCCCGTAGCAGTACCTGTTTCCACCCGTTTTCGTCAACGAAACGAATCAACGTCTTCCGCTGGCTCCTGGCAGATGATATCAGGCACTGGAAGCCTTCGTGGCTCAACCACCTCGAATCTCATGCTGACCGAGCACTTGTCCGCTTGTGGACTTACATGCAACAAGCCACACTGCAGCATCTGCTTAGGGCAAACCTCACAAGACTCAACTACGACGATTGTTGAAGATGAATCTGCTGTTTCATTGGCACAGTAAGTCGTCGAAGTACTTTGATCATTACTTTTAGTCTATATGTTTAAACTATTAGTTTAAACTTTTTTGTTACTATTAGTTTAAACTATTGAACAAATTTTTATTCGAAGCAAAATGAAACATTTCATTTTGAATTTCTTGAAAGCGATTGAATGACTAATTATATTGACTTTAATGAAAATCAATGGAAACAATTAATTATATTTTTAGTCTGATGTTCGATGCTGATTAATACAATTGTTCTAATGATTCCAGAACACGAAAAGAGAAACTTTACGCATTACGACAATTATTCTACAACGCTTACAACACTGTTGGCTTTAGAATGAAAGAGAACTCCGAGTCAAGTGGTTTGGGTCAACTGCTCGGTAATTTCGCTGAAAAAGTGGGCCTGTCTGTACAACGCACATCATTGTGACCATAAATCATTGATAAATACCACCGTTGTTAATTCACACTATTTCTCATTTATCTGTTCAATGAACCTTGAAAGTTTAATGAACACTGAGGAGTGTTAAATTCGAGTGTAAGTCTATTGAATATTGTGAATAAGGCACATTTTTGGTATAAGTGGACGAGAAAATAAAAACTTGATATTTTTGTATATAAAAAATATATTATGCTTGTTACTTCCTCAAGTAGTTAATCCTTTTTTAAAATTTAAGACCCAGATTGTTGGATTGCCATCACAGATTCATGAGGTGCACGATTCTGGATGGGATTACGTGCTCCCTGCAGTATGGGCATTGAGATCGTGTCCTGAGCCAATCGCCCAGACAATTCCAGCAGAATAAATGACCGCATGGAGTCGTTGTGGTTGGAATTGTCTCTAGACAGAGCTGACATTTATTTCCCTCTTCTTCTTTGGGTAATGATTCATTCCCATTAATTTTCTCCTCTCCACGGTAGACTTTCAGAGCGCATTGGGCAAGAGTCGCCAGACCAAGGAGTCTCAACCCCCAACTGACGCCGTCGGTCGGTCTCTTTCCGTAAACCTTTCCATGAATTCGAAAAAGCAAGTTTTAACGAGTGAAATCAATGATGGGGAGTTGTTTTGAGGGAACTAATGACTACCTTGGCATAGTCCACGCCCGTCAGTCGCCGCCCCCAGCTGTAATACCGTCCGTAAATGTAAAACAACCCCTTGTGAATGAGGATCATCAGGGGGATCGCTGTTTTTAGTCTATCGATGAGAGAATTTAGGAAAATCACTGCCTCGGGTTGCAGTTCGCTGTGGGGGTGATTTACGCTTTTTTTTAGCTTTTCTAAGAGGGTGAGCAAGCCTCGCTCTCCGAAACATTCTAACACGGCCGCTAGAACTCTCGCCTGGGGCGGAAAAGAAGTTTGAGTTGGTCGGTTTCAGTGGATGATTCGGTAGGGAAGCGGTGAATCGGAATGAGAGAAATCGTTATTGTATTTATTTTCAGAAGAAGGGGTCTTGGGGGAAAATACCAGAAGACTTTTTCTATAGAATTAATCGTTATGGGAATGAGTTGATGGACAAGGTCATTATCAACTGTTGATGAAAGTTGAATCTAAGCAACTGATTTTGTGGGAAAATATCAAGAGATCTTCTCTTTGGGTGAGGAAATTTTTATCAAGTTTCTCGAGACATTCTCTAATAAAAGCATTCATTATGACGATGAAGAGAGATTTAAAAAGGTGTGAACAAACTACTGTTCGTACATGAGTCGAATTTGTCGATTGTTGATATAAAATAATGAACAAGGAAAAATAAAATATAATGAACGACTAACTTGAAAAATAAACAAATTAATAAAATATAACAAATAATTGATTGTGAATATAATTCTTTAAACACTCATTAAATAAGTGAATGGACTGGAAAAACTCTATTCATGAAAACTCTTTATACAATTATGACTATGATGTTCGAAAAATGTAATCGATGTAAATTGCTGTTTGAATATGGACTGTTGAAAAATTCTAGTCCACTAATTTTCAGATTTCCACTGAAATCACCAAGAACAATATTTTCCATGGAAAACTTGATTCATAACAAATTATCTAGGAAATCTGAAATTTATTTGAGTCTCAATTAATAAAAAATTCCATTCTTCTACAAAACTACCGATTCAAGCTAGAATATTCAGTTAGTTCTTATTTTTCAAATGGTCTCAATGAAATTTAGCTGCAATAACTCGAAATTCAGAGGAAAATTTCTGTTTCCCTAAAGTAATTACCACAAAATGTTCAAGAGAAACATGAAATTTCATGGACGTTTTGGCTGCAATGCCTCCAAACTCTGAGAAAATTTCTGTTTCCCTCAAGTAATTACCACACAATGTTCAACAGAGACATGAAATTTCATGAACGTTTTGAGTTTCAAAGAATCTCTCCTGCAAATTCCCACAGAGAAAAATTAAATAGCGTCATTTCTGTTCTATCACTTTACACCTGACATCCCCCCGTCAAAAATATAGTAAAAAATTATGATTACACTTAACGAAGGCACCGTACGTGCCGCCAGATCAGCCTGAATAATGCCCGTATACTCCTCTCCCAGTGTTTGATTCCCCATCCCCGAGGTAAATCCAAAATACAACAATTTCAACGGAACATTCGATTGAATGAACGGCAGAAGTGTTCTGTATCCCCCGAAATTGTGCAATAAATCCAGGAATTTCTCCCTCAATCCCCTGACGAATTCGTCGTCCCTCTGGTGCGCCCGGAGTATTTCGGCCTGTGTCGCACCCCTGAGACCCCCGAGCCTCTTCATCGGACGTCTAGACGTCATTACTACCCCCCAATTACCCCAACAAATGCTTTATCATCTAACAAAACAAAAGCTTCTTGTCTACTCAACGTCACTCGCCTCTCCTTTTCTCACAAAATGTCGGCGAAATCATCGGTTGACACACCAAAGTGCGTGACTCTCGTGTTTAAATGACTGTTGCTCAATAAAAGGAAAAAACAATGACAAAAAAACACTCACGGTGCAACGAGAATCTGCAGAACACGTCTCAGCGGGTTTTTTTGCTGCTGCGAAGACGGCGCCATCTTGAACTTGTCTGAAGTTGGCTGCGAGTGCTGCGAGTGTTTTGTTACCGATCGAATCACTCAACTGCAACAAGAACTTCAAAAATTGAGGATTACATTCGAAAGAGTAATTATCATCAAATAATTGATTAACAAGTGGTGAATCATCAATTTAATTATCTTGATAGTTTTAATCCATACAAAAAGTAGGATTTTATTTGTGAAAAAATCCAGTTGATAAAACAGATTCCGTGGAGAAATGCCCGAAATTTATTAACAATAGTTGAAATATAGCTTATTTGATCACTAGTGCGTAGGAGTTGCCCTTCTTAGTAGACAGTCGTAAACATACTTCTTTTGTGACACCTGCCTCAAAAGTGCACTTTTCGAAACGATTTAGTGTACGTAGAACGGTTTTTTCAGCACTTGTGCGTAAAGTGAAATTTTACGCACGCTTGGCGCAAACTTCACGCAAAATTCCTATTTTCAAACATTGTGATGACAAATAGAATTTGCCACTCGTGCGAAAAAAGCAAAAAAGTGCCCTTTTTTCACTCGTATCATAATATAATATTTCGAACAGTCGCAACTAAAATCGATTCAAATATAAATAAATTCTAAAAAAACAATAATAACAACAATCATCAAAAAATGAAGTAAACAGTGAATTAAACTAATCTCAACCAAAAAATCGCATAATTCCAGTCAAAATTGGCCCAATTATTTAATAACAAATAAACAAAATCTAAAAATTTCAAAAATTAATTTAATTAATCAATTAATTTAATTTTTCAAATTTCTAAATTTTGTTTATTATTTTTCCTTAATAATTAATTAAATCAATTGAAATAAATGACGCCAATTCAATTGCTTAAACTCACTATTGCGACGAATTAACAAAAAAAATTGAAAAATGAATTTCGGAGCGAAATCGACCGATAAGACAGATCGGCGGTATCCACCAATAGCGTCCCCGAAATAGCCTCGAGTGTCCCATCACACAACTCCTCCATCGATGCTCAAAAACGGAGCAGAGGCCCGAGAGGCATCGCCCTAGATAACGGTAGAATTGTGCACTGTCCGCGGGTTTGTCTCACGCGTATAATCGAACGACTGCGACGAGTTTTTAGTGATTAAAGAGTTTAAAAAAATTAAGAAACAGGTACTCCCCTAAAAACAATAACAATAAAAAATCTCGTGAGACAGACTGAGTACCTGGGACAAGCACAGTGGGTGTATTTCAATTCGTCAGCGTGGTGAGCTTGTGCGGAAATTCGATGAATTGAAAATTATTAATACGAGTTTTTAAAATAAACGGGCGATACGATACGACCGACGGGGAACGGCCCCCCGTGCACGGCGTCTGTGGTTTTTTTCTCTCCTCGGAATAAAAAAATTGACTGCGAAAGAACGAAAAGGAGAATTTACACTGGGAGTCATCAGAAAAAAAACAGGAATAAACGAAACAAGAGGGAGGGAGAGGGGAGACGTTGAAGAATTCGTTGGGATTCATGTGAATGCAGAGTGAAGCCGGTGTGTGCTTAATTTACTTGTGATTGATAGAGAGGGAGAGAAATATATTGATAATTACTTTTTGTGGTGAATTATATCGATGAACCTATGGCGGTGGAGTGACGAGCTGGACACTGGAAGCAGCTAATTGCCGGAAAAATATTGGAGTTATCTGTTGGACAAAGAGTTGAATAGAAATCATTTTAACGATAAATCATTAAGGTTAATTCCAGCAATTTTTGTGTTGAATTGTTTTTTGTCTTTATTTATTCAACCGAGATATCGCAAGAACAACGACAACGGGGCATCGACGTAAGGGGTGAGTTTTTGTATCGTTTTTTAATCTTTTTCTTCATTCATTCCCCTCTCACTTCTGTCTTTTTGGAGTCTGTCTCGTTCCTTCACTCCTCCGGATATTAAACAGCCTCTGTGGATGGATTCCCGTGAGTCAGTTGGAGGACAAAATGAGGGAGAGGTACAGAAAAAATAAATAGACAGGGCGATGTGGTTCACCTTATTTCGTAGACGCACCCCACGCACGAAAAACAAATTCCTGTGATTTTTTTTTGTTTGTGCGGTAACTGGGAACATTCGAGAGAAATTGAATTCAGGATTAATTGAACGTTAGTTGAGTCAAGGTGTCAAATTTCATCGATGTTTTTAAAATTTAATCATTTAGAGATTAATTTTAGAACAGAGTGGTTTTAAGTTGAGAATCCAAATCTTCTGAATTCAAGAAAATTTCGATTCTTGAATCAAAACGAAAAACAATGAGAAAAAACAAAAACAACAATGACAATTGTTTCTTGAATTGAAGAGCAATTATGCTAAATTCAAGCAAAAATTACTGAGCATCAGAACTTTTCTGATTTTAAAGAAAAATGTTCTTGGATCAAATGAAGAAACTGTTGTAATAGAAGGATTTAGTTGTTGTTAATAGTTAATGAATCGTGATAATAATTACGAAGCCCCGAAAACAACATATTTCTAGATTCTATCAAAAACGATTCTCCAATTCAGAGATTTTTACTGAAAACCAGAACTATGTTATCTCTGTCTGTCAAATAAATTAATTTGAGAATCCAAATCTTTGTAATTCAAGAATCAAAATTTTCTTGGATTGAAGTGCAATTATGCTGAATTCAAGCAAAAATTACTGAGCATCAGAATTTTTCTGATTTTAAAGAAAAATGTTCTTGGATCAAATGAAAAAACTGTTGTAATAGAAGGATTTAGTTACTGTTAATAGTTAATGAATCGTGATAATAATTAAGAAGCCCCGAAAACAACATATTTCTAGATTCTATCAAAAACGAATCTCCAATTCAGAGATTTTTACTGGAAACCAGAATTTCGTTATCTCTGTCCACCAAATAAAATCGCTTCCATCTGTATTTCCGAAACTGTTGGAGTAAAAGAAGTCTTTTTATCTCAAACTCATGTTCTTTTTTTTTCCTTTCGCAATGGAGGAATGATTTTGATTTTAAATTTTGATTTTAAATAATTAAATTAATTATTCCCTCCTCTACCAGTATCTTTTTGGAGTCTGTTTTTTTCCCTCACCTCTTCGGATATTGAGCAACCTTTGTAGATGGATTCCCGATAGTCAGTTGAAGGACAAAATGAATGAGAGATACAAAAAAAAATAATACACAGAGTGATGTTGCTCACATTAATTCGTAGACGCACCCCACGCACGCGAAAAAAACGCCTCTGTTTTTTTTATCTGTGTATAAACTGAGAACATTCGAGAGAAATAAAGTTCAGGATTAATTGAACGTTAGTTGAGTCAAGGTGTCAAAATTCAGAGATATTTTTAAAAAGACTTGAATCATGTATAAATTAATTTTAGAATAGTGTTTTTAATTTAAGAACCGAAGTTTTTTCAAACTAACCTAAGGTGTAGATTAAATTGAAGTAAAATTATTCTAAATTCAACAAAAAATTTCTTAACATCAGAACTTTTCCGATTTTAAAGAAAAAATTTTTTTTAATCAAATGGCGAATCTACACTGATAGAAGATTTTAGTTACTGTTAACAAGGTTTCTTGACTATTAACCAATCGTGGTAATTCACGACACGATTCTCCAATTGAGAGATTTTTACTGGCAACCCGAAATTTGTTATCTATATCTACCAAATAAAATCGTTCCTATCTTTATTGAGCACCTTCTTCCAGCCAATTTACCGTCACAAGCAAAAATACAAACACTACCAACTTAAAAAAAAGAAAATCATCTCAATTTTCAATTTTGCACACTTCTTCAGGGCACTTTATTTATCTGAGAACAAAATCTCTAAATATACATATGAAGTTTTAATGAAAACACATGTTATCCTATTTCACCTATTGCACACAATGAACAAAATTTTTTCTCTATTCACTTATTAATTTTCCCCACAATATTTGTTCAATAATGAAAACAGAAACGGTTGGATAAATTATGAGAGAATTGTTTCCATCTGTATTTCCGAAAAAATTGGCGTAAAAAAGGTCGTCTTTTTTTCTCAAACTCATGTTCTTAAACTGGAAATTTTTTTTTTGAATTGTAATCGTGGAATGATTTTGATTTCAAATTAATTCCTCCCCCACTCCTCAGTCCTCCGAATTTTAACCAGCCTATGTAGATGGATTCCCGCTCGTCAGTTGGAGGACAAAACGAGAGAAAGAAATACAAAAAAACAAATAAACAGGGTGATATTGTTCACCTTAATTCGTAGACGCACCCCACGCACGCGAAAAAAAAAACGCCTCTGCTTTTTTTATCATCAGTGTATACGAGACGAATAGTTGAGCGTTCAATCTCCCCCTAATTCGTACCAATTCCAGGGACTGCCTCTGGCAATTGCGATACATTGAGTGGCTCTGATAATATTCGCATGTCGATAGACTAACGTTTATATCATCCAATTGCACCTCTGTGTGAGTGTTTCGCAATTCTTTTAATCCACAGAATGCAAAGAATTTTACTTCTCCCGAAATTCTCGACAAAGGTACGAAATCTCAATTTTCGGATAATTTTATTATTCAAATACCGGTGGAAAGAACTCAGCGCCCAATTAAAACATTACCCATTCATTTATTCAACTCTAAACTCCATAAATACGCTCTGGCGAGATAAACGCTCTACATGTTGAGCTTGAAAAACCCACAGGTACGGGAGAGAAATAAAGCCCCAGGTTTTCTCTCATTTAATTTTTAAGGCCAATCATTGCGTTCCTCACGCAATGACTTTATTATTTTTAGTATCAATACACTTGTTTTTATTCATAAAGATAAATAACGTGTAATATATTTCTTCATTCGAGTGAACGCGTGTGTGGTATGGATACCAGTTTGGGAATGGAAAGCGCCGGCTTACTCGTGATGATTCACACGATGAAGGCGAGTTCCAAGAAAACTGCACTCAAGAAATGTGAATCATTTTTTTTTACAGAGTGCACTGAGAGGAAAAATTATACTTGGCGAGTTCATATCTTTTGCTCTCCGAGTCTCATGTGCTTCGATTGTCGAGTGATACACATGACCTTGATTACACTCGAGTAATCATTATTATGTCCTGAATTCGCAATTATTCAGGTGAAATGATGACGATACTTGTGATGTATGACAGAACCTAGCTGAAGTAAATCCTTTCAGAAATAAATGGAAAGTTTCTAGTGTTTAGAATAAAATTGGGGATTTGAAGAAGAAAAATGTCTAAAATTGAGTTCAAAAAATGTTCCTTTGCATTCATAATCTGAGGACATTCGAAAGAAATAAAATTCAGAATTAATTGAACATTAATTGAGTGTGTCGAAATTAAGAGATATTTTTATAAATACTTGAATCATCTATAGATTTATTTTAAAATAGGGTGTTGTTAATTTAAGAACCGAAATCTTCTGAATTCAAGAACTAAATTTTTCTTGAATTGAATTGAATTGAAAGTACAATTATGCAAAATTCAATAAAAAAGGACTGATTAAATGAAGAATCTACAAATTTCTAGATTCTACCAAATATAACTATAAAATTCAGGGATTTTCCCTGGGAACCAGACACTCGTTATTTCTGTCTGCCAAATAAAATCGTCTCCATCAGAATTTCCGAAACCATTGTAACAACAGAGATCGTCTCTCCTCAGAGCGAAAAAAAATTCTTTTTAAATCACCAACATATGTTTCACCTTCCAGAAACATTCTTAATTTAAAAATCTACCCTCCATCGTTTCCTCATTTTCTGCCTCTCCGTTCTGCTTTTTAACCTCAATTTAATGTGCACTGAGCTTCCTCATGATGGATACACCACTGTTAACCTCGTCAAAATACCACGATTATGCGCAAGGTCGATAAAACCCGTGCGGGTTTTGTACTCCGCACTGAATACAGTACGTGTTTCCACCGATTATCGGCTGTTCCATTCACTCTGTTTCGTGGATATCTGTCTCTTCACGTGTTGCTTCACATATGGTAATGCCTCAAAGAGAATTAATACCAATTTACGTAGCGCCGCAGAGCCAGACAAAGAATTTATTCTCTTTACCCGACTGTCCATTATCAATAACCAACTACGTCATTTTGATGATTCACATTTCACCAGTGAATCGAAAAAACTGTTGTTCGATCTCCGTTGTTTTTTTCTTCTTGCTCAGTTGCTTCATAATGGATTGGCTGCACTCCAAACTCACCATTTGTTGCTTTTTTTGGCTGCTCTATATCAAAGACAGTTTCTTTTGTGCATTACAAGTGGCTCGTGATTCTGTTCTGTTCTGTCTGCGAAGATTAATAGCAATGAAATATTCGCTTCGATTCCCCCGCGGATGATGCAGTGAAAATCGTAAGAAGTTGAATATTTTCGCGAGGGAAAACATCCTCGAGCAATTATATTTCGTCTCGAAACGAAGCCACTCATTTGCTGAGTGGAGAGAGAAGCCTGTAATTGGAGTTCTTAAGCCTCCATTATCATCAGTATTTAGTAGCAATACTCGTGGAAAATTTTATCAAGGATAAAAGTCATTTATGAATGGATTACAGAAGTCGTCAAGTCACAATAATAGAAACTTTCTCTGTCTCTCTCTCTCTCTCTCTTCCTCTCTGACTCTTTGTTTTGCTCCAAGGAAAGTCCGGCATTATTTCTCAAGAATTTTTTCTCTAGATTTGTCTTCAACGCCCACTTGTACGGGCTCTGCCCTGGCTAGGGGTGGGCTCGTTAATTTTACTCAATTCCTCGTATTCAATTTTCATCCGTCCCCCCCTTCGCCATTATAATTCAACTCGTCCCATTCGATTGATAATCCCACTTAGTCCCCATAGATCGAGCAATTGACGTTTGTCTC